AACACAATTAAAGTTGAAGAACTAAATATATCCATTTTTCATAACATTGATGCATACATAAAGATACAAAATCTTAAGGCTTTATGACTCAATTGCATAATGAAGTATAGCCAACAGGTAGTCCGATACTTAAAGAATACTTGGAATACTTACTGTTTTTTGAATCAAAATGACTCCAAAACTCAAATCATTCATAAAAAAGGTCTCCCTAAAATTTAAAGAATACTGGGAATACGAATTTCTTTTATTGAATATATATATATATATTCTCATATTCATCACAAAAAACATATTTTTATAAATATATATATTATATAATATTAAAAATAATCCTCACAAAAAAAATATCAATTTTATTTTTCATTCAATAAAACCCTAAAATCCCCAAAATCAACCTCCAAATTTTTGTTTTTGTTCTAAAATTTGTTAATTTATTTTATACAATCAATAATATCACACAAATGATGTTTATATATATTCTCATATTCATCACAAAAAACATATTTTTATAAATATATATATTATATAACATTAAAAACAATCATCACAAAAAAAATATCAATTTTATTTTTCATTCAATAAACCCTAAAATCCCTAAAATTCCCAAAATTGACCTCCAAAGTTTTGTTTTTGTTCTAAAATTCGTTAATTTATTTTATGTAATCAATAATCTCAAACAAATATTGTTTATATATATTCTCATATTCAACACAAAAAACACATTTTCATAAATGTATATATTATATAACATTAAAAACAATCCTCACAAAAAAAAAAAATATCAATTTTATTTTTCATTCAATAAACCCTAAAATCCCCAAAATCTCTAAAATCCCCAAAATCTCTAAAATCCCCAAAATTGACCTCCAAATTTTTGTTTTTGTTCTAACATTCGTTAATTGATTTTATGCAATCAATAATCTCACATAAATATTGTTTATATATATTCTCATATTTGTCACAAAAAACATATTTTTATAAATATATATATTATATAACATTAAAACCAATCCTCACAAAAAAAAATATCAATTTTATTTTCCATTCAATAAACCACAAAATCCCTAAAATCCCCAAAATTGACCTTCAAATTTTTGTTTTTGTTCTAAAATTCATTCATTTATTTTATGCAATGAATAATCTCACACAAATATTGTTTATATATATTCTCATATTCATCACAAAAAACATATTTTTATAAATATATATATTATATAACATTAAAAACAATCCTCACAAAAAAAATATCAATTTTATTTTTCATTCAATAAACCCTAAAATCCCCAAAGTCCCCAAAATCGACCTCCAAATTTTTGTTTTTGTTCTAAAATTTGTTCATTTATTTTATGCAATCAATAATTTCACACAAATATTGTTTATATATATTCTCATATTCATCACAAAAAGCATATTTTTATAAATATATATATTAGATAACATTAAAAACAATCCTCGCAAAAATAATATCAATTTTATTTTTCATTCAATAAACCCTAAAATCCCCAAAATTGACCTCCAAATTTTTGTTTTTGTTCTAAAATTCGTTCATTTATTTTATGCAATCAAAAATCTCACACAAATATTGTATATATATATTCTCATATTCATCACAAAAAAATTATTTTTATAAATATATATATTATATAACATTAAAAACAAAAAAAAACCCTAAATTCCTAAAATCAAGCTCCAAAAAAACCCTAAATTCCTAAAATCGAGCTCCAAATTTTGTTTTTTTTGTTCCAAAATTGTTCTTTTATTTATTGCAATAAATAATACTAGTCAAATATTGTCTGAAAAATCCTAAAAAAGCTACAAAATTAAGAAAAAAAAGAACAAAAAGTTGGGTTCCGGCGTACCTTGTCTGCTTCAATCTCAAAATCGAGCCTCAAATCTCTCCATTTCAATGAAATCAAGAGTCTACAAATATATGTATCTCTTTGATCATCAAAATCCTCAACTTTTTATCAAAAAAAACTGAAAAACCAGGCCAAAATCAAAGGAATGGCGGATTTTTCATAAAAAAATGAAGAACACAAAAAAAAAAAAGGACCAAAAATTCGCAAAAATTGATCTAATCTTGGAGTTTTTGATTCAATATTGATGGATTTATAGAAGATTTGAAGGTATAGTACAATAATTGAGCCAAAAAGAAACAAAAAAGAGGCAGAAAAAAGCATAAAAAAGCTATAAAAAATGGCGGATCACGGGTTCTTCACAAATAACGGGCACTGTTACAAATAACGGCCATTATCTGCTATTGTGCCGTTATTATGTTATATCGCCAAACCAGACCGGTTTTTATAAAACTGGCTGGTTTGGTCAAAAACTCTCCGGTTCAAGGCCAAACCGGCTGAGCTTTTAGCCTATTTTTTTTCCAGACGATAAGTTTTTTTACTAGTACACTAAAACCGAACCTAATCGGAATCGCCACCCCACAAGTAGCGAGCTAACCAGCCAGTTTCGGTTCCGACCGGCCGGTTTTTCGAACATTGCCTGATACTCAAAAGTTTGTTTAATGGCCCCATTGAAACACCGGTTTAATCCTACGACTCAAAAGTTTGAAAGCAAGTTTCACTCTCTTTTATTCTATTTTTTTAACCCAAACAAATACTAGAAAGACATCCTTTCTAAATCCTCGCTCTCTCACATGTTTCTCTCTCCCATAAATCTCCCCAACCCCTCTTTCTCTCTATCCGTATTTCCCCCCAACTCTCTCTCTCTAGTCAGGCTCCCTGTCTCTCTCTGTTTAGAGAAATACCAGTGGTTTTGAAGCTTAGGGTTGGAACAACTCTCTCTCTCTAGTCAGGCTCCCCGTCTCTCTCTGTCTAGATTAGGGTTGGAACAACTCTCTCTCTAGTCAGGCTCCCCGTCTCTCTCTATCTAGAGAAATACCAGTGGTTTTGAAGCTTAGGGTGAAGAACTAGTTTCAAGAGAAAATGTTAGAGGTGTAAGCTTGGGATTGGGCCTTTCAATCCATTAACTAAGAGCCAGAAAATTTATAGGCGTGAATAATATATTTTTTATGTGGTTTTCAAATAATTTAGGGAAAGAAAAAATTACATACATATTCGTTATAGTTCCGTTATTACGGCTCTACCAAATAGTTTCTATTATTACCACCGTGTCCGTTTTTTTTTTTCATGTCAAAACAGAAATTTAAAAAAAAAACGTCTTTATCCTTTTTCGATTGTTGAACAACAGAATTCAAAGTTGAACAACTGAAAATATACCAATTTTGGTTCTTGAAGAACCGAAAATTTTGTTGAAGAACCAAAAAAAATTTTGTTCTTCAAGAACTGAAAAATATTTTCTCTCTCCTATGGCGTATTTTCTCTACCTCTCTGAAGTCATAGTTATACGATAAAATTAGAAGGGAACAACTAGTTTGAGCCCCTAAATTCAAGAGAAATCTTAGGGATTATGATTAGAAAAAGGTGTGGCGTATCTACCTCTTCGAAGTCATAGTTATCCGATAAAATCAGTGAGAATAGCTAGTTTGAGCCCCTAAATTTATGAGAAATCTCAAGAATTATGAACATCGGGGAAATCTCAGGGATCATTAACTTACCCAAAATATGAACTTACAAAAAAAAAAAAAAAGAACGTTGGGTGAAGGGAAGAGAGTTTTAAAAAAACACCAAG